TTATTATTTTTTACTGCGTTTTAGATATAATTATAACGTTATGGAAAATTATTTTACATCATTTATTTAATTATGATTTATGATATTAGATTAAAATGCACTCGATGACTCAACGCCGCCATTGAACATTTTCGTACTTATACTTCGTACTGTTACGCGCTCAAGTCGACGATACACAAGCGCCATCTAGTGTCAGGAACGAGAGCGAGGGGAGCATTGAGAAAATGACATCACAAATCACTCGACCGACAGCGCCACCCGAAGAACTAAGTTTCTGGAAAATCTACACTCGAATACTCGTTGCCTGGCGCGCATTTACTTGAATGTTCGGGACGCTTCTTTGCTAATTATATAAATAGGCGCTGCAAGATGCGATCGGGGGGTAGAGTTGAACTCGGCGACACAAGCGAAGCTTCGGAGCGGAATTAAGTGAATTAGTGTGTTTAATTATTAGTGTTTTTAGTTTTAATTTGTGTAAAGTAAATTAAAGTGTTAATTTAGGTAATTTTATCGCCAATTTTTATTGTCACGAACCTCAAGCTCGTAACAGTACGCATAGTTAAGAATATTAATTATAACTTGAAAATGAACCGATTTTAATAAAACAAAGACTGAATGTAAGACGAAGATACGCTTTATACTTTCCTTACCAATTATTTTGATATTGTTACGAGCTTGAGGTTCGTGACAATAAAAATTGCCGATAGAATTACCTAAATTAACACTTTAATTATCTTTACACCAATTAAAACTTAAAACACTAAAAATTAATCACACTGATTCACTTTATTTCGCTCCGAAGCTTCGCTTGTCTCGCCAAATTCAATACTTCCCCGATCCCATCTTGCAGCGCCTATAAATACAAATTAGCACCGAAACATCCAGAATATTCAAGTAAACACGCGCAAGGGGCCGAGAGTTTGAGTGTCGACTTCTAGAAGCTTAGTTTTTCGTTTCGAGACTAGATGGTGCTGTCGGTTGAAAGATTAGTGAAGTCGTTTTCGGGAAAGCTCCCCTCGCTCTCGTCCCCGACACTAGATGGCGCTAGTGCCGGGTACATTACGTCAACTTAGGCGCGTAACAATATAAATCAGTACTTCATAGATGAAATTTTCATTTTTTATTATTTGTATAGATTTTTGGTCCCTCCTCCCCCCAATTACTTTTATTATCAAGATTTAAAATGTACAGACATCTGCAATTTGCATTTTATCATATGTATACTGTATAGTTATAAATGATATGAAAGCACATTGTTAGAAAGATAAATGAATGTTGAACTTATTTTTTTTCTCTCGATTTATTGCTATTTAACATTAAATAAGTGGTTTTCGTGGCTTATGGTGCAGATTTATCAAGTCCGCGTGGAGGGATAAACACGATAACTTTGAAAATATCAATTATTCATATCAATCTATTTTTTAATCTATTCATGTATCACGTGGGAAGCCATGGAATATCAATAGCTGTTTAATTTTGTTTCGTTTATTTATAAATAATTTTTTCGGCTGAGAAATTCTGAAATTTTCGGTGTTTGAGCAGCCTTGTAATAATATATTTTACTAAATACAGACACATTTACTCACTCCGGGCTCAGCTGCCGTCTTGATTGAGTTACTGTATCGTTTGTTTACAGTGGCCGTGATGAAAAATATCGATCGCTGTAGAAATATAAAATACTTGATCAATGTATATTGTTATTATATAATTTATAATTACAGATTTTCATTACAATATATTTTTTCGCTAAAAGTACGTAGGATTTATACAACATGTAACATAATTAACGCACTTTGAGAAAGTAGTTTGTTTAGAATCGTTTACTGAATCGATTCCTATCATTTTTAATATAGGTAATTTTTTATCCCAAAAATAATTAAAACTACGTACATTACAGTTACACTAAATCTGTACAGTCAAAACAAACTGAAATGGACCGTAACTTAAGGCAATAAGACTTTTAGAAGTGCAGTTTTATTTGTATTATTACTAATTCAGTCATTCAATAAAAATAAAGAAAAATGAACTTTATTTCAAGCAGGTTAAAGTCTTTGCGTTCGTGGATTTGTACTGTGACCACAACATTCTTCCGGAATTAGTATAACTAATTTGATAAATAATCAGTGCATAAAATGTTTAACTAAAAATTCAGTGTATGTATTATTATTATAACATAATATACTAATTGGGGTGTCTGAGGGTGTGCGTTAATTACGTTACATATTGTATATGTATATAAATCCTAAGTATACCTGAAGAAGGTGTACTTCGCTATCTGCTACTGGAACTCCTCGAAGAATAGAACTAGGTGTTTGAGTTTGAGTTTGGCTTTGTTTTATTAGTTATGATGAGATACCTCCTTACCTCCGGACTTGAAAGTATTTTGATGAATTGTGACTAGTTGATTTTTTTTTAAAACGAAATAAAGTCGATGAGAAAAAAAATATTAACGAGTTAGGTAAAAGACTAGTTTTTGAAAGAATGCCTGAGTATACAAATACCTAAAAATTAAAGTAATATTAAAGTTGATTTCTGATCGCTTTAAAATAATTCTGTTAAAAGTTTTTTCAATTATCAATAGTAAAAAAATTTAATCTCAATAAAAATAACATATTAAAATTTAAAAAAATATTCTATATTGTTGATTGAGAATTTTTTCACGATCATATGAGCATTATGAGTCATGTACTTTTGGATTTTCCAAACATTTTTATTGACGTTTGACATAAAATTATCCGAAAATTCGAAGTAAAAGTAATAAGGTTATTTGTGAAAACTTGTGTGTGTTTAATATTTTTACCGGGAGGCCTTGAGGAATTGTTCGGATTAATCCCAGCCGCCAAATTTCGTGAACGCACTACACGGCAAACGTCCCGATACCATCCACACCATCTGTATGCTTGGCGGTCCACCACTGTACGTTTCAAAAGGAGTTTTCTTCCGCGTACAACCTCTCTGTGGAGATAGTTTACCACCGGCGATTTTTCCGGACCGATACGACCTGGGGACCTTCAAGAAAAGAGCTTACTCCTTTCTAAAGGGTTGGCAACGCACCTGCAATTCCCCTGGTGTTGCGGTTGATCATGGGCGGCGGTAGTCACTTAACGTGAGCCGCATGCTAGTTTGCCCCTCTTCTACAAAAAAACGCTTGCTTTTTGCATAAGCTTCCAGCGTACGGAATATACGCTGATCTGATTGACTGGGTAAAGGACTTTCTGAGTGAACGGTCTCTCTGGATCGTTATCGATAGCTGCTCTTCCGATCCTGTGGTGACTAACGACGATGTTCCTCAGGGATCCGCTCTCTCCGCAACTCTCTTCCTGCTGCATATTAATGATTTGCTTATACCCGTATCCACGGGTATGGAGAGGTAGCACTGTTGTGGAGAGATACCAACCGAGTCCTTGGGCCAGTCCGTAAGAGAAGCTATAGGTAGAGCGTGTGAATATCACACTACAGGCAGTCTCCGAATGGGGCGATACCAATCTTGTGAAATTCACCGCTTCCAACACACAATCGTGTCTCTTCATTGCAAAAAGGAGCCTGCTCACGTTGGCTCCTTCTTTTCGAAATGTATCACTGGAATACACCGACCGCCTCGGTTGTTAGGGGTTGAGATGTCCTCAAATCTGAACTTCGGGTGATTCATTGAGTCCAAGGCCAAAGCAGCTGCAAGGTAGCTAGGAGTCCTTGCAAAGGTGCGGCGATACTTCACGCTGGATTAGTTGCTTACTTTATATAAAGCGCAAGTTCGGTCGTGCATTGAGTATTGCTGCCATAAATGGGCTGGTGCTGCAAAATGCCACCTAGCAGCTTTGGACTCAATGGAAAGGCGTGCTTATTGGGATCCGAATATGGTTAAAGACAATCTTACCAGTGTGTGCGCAGGAATTGTGTAATATAATTCCTCCCTCTCCCTTCCACCATCGGATAACCAGAGGTTAGGCCAGTCTGCGCCCTTTCGTTGTTAACTTAACACGTTTTCGAACCAAACAGTTTTCTATGTTGTTCATCATGCGTACAGCAAAGGAGTGGAATAAGTTGCCAGTAGCTGTATTTCCATCCGACTACAGTGTGGGTTTCTTTAAGGCAAGAATGAATAGGTTTTTGTTAAGTCAGTGCGCTTCACCATCTTAGGCTACATCACCACTTACCATCAGGTGGGGTTGTAGTAGAATAATAAAAAAAGGTAATAGGAGTTACTCGATTTCAAAGAGCAGTTATAATTTCATGGGACAATGTCATGTCATGAAAATGAACTTTTACAACAAAGTTCCAGAAAATATGTAAGACCTATATCTATCAAAAATTGTTTAATAAGGGTTATTATACTACTAAAGAGTACGTGACTGATAAAACTCCTCTATTGAGATGATCACTACTATGCTGTTTTTAAATAATATAATATTAATAGTAATAAAGTAGTATAACATTAATAGTATTAATAGTTTGAATAGGAATAAATCTAATATTGTAAATTAATGTTTTAAAAAGTCCGCTGGGTTTCTAGCTGGTTCTGCCCACGACAGAGGCTTTTTTCCGACCCGCGGTAAAACTTAAATGACTTTTAGTAAGTATTATTGTAATCTATATTGAATAAAAATGATATTCTTGGCGAGATTTTACCTACGACTAACAGATGGCGCTGTTTGTCACGTAACTCACACTATACAAGCGATTTTTCTGCACCATAATATTGTTTTCAAAGTATAGTTACTTCTTTAATACAGATTCATATGTTCAAATAGCGCTTTATTTTAGTCGGTAATTTCTCGAAACAGATTTATATGCTATTCAGAATACAATATTAAAAATTGATTTAAAAATAAAAATGCACGCATACGAAAATGTTTAATTTTCAAAAACACACAATACAATTAATGATAGATGATAAAAGTCAACGAAATAGTCAATATATAGGTAGTACAATAAAATGTTAGGATGTCAAGCTGCTACAAATCTCTGCCATTGCTGTTTTAGATTAATTTTAAAACGTCGTACTAAACATCATTTTTTTCTAATCCAAGGGTGTGTTCTTCGATTTCGTCATTATTGTTACGAACGGTCTGGGAAAATCCTATGTAATTACTTTCTCCATTAACAGAGCTCACTGCGCTTGATGTATAGGCGCTAATAAACGTATCACTATCCCCTAGCTTGATATCCTCTTGCTGCTAGAAACAAAAAAGATACATTTGTTCATTTTCTATTTGTTAGTGAAAATAAATAAAAATTATACTTGGTAAGGAAACGTTCGCGAAACTTCACTCAAATAGAATTGAACGTAATTGCATTTAGTCCTTACTCAGCCATCATCAACTACCAGCAAATAGTTCATTGCTGTAAGTGGGTCTCTCCGGTAACGGAGATTTATTATAATCACCAAGACTGGCAGGCGTTTGAGCAATTTTAATACCATACGTGTCTCAAATTTGACCCTGCTCTCTAACAACTTTTTATAGAATAAGGGTAAGCGGATGCAGTAGTCCATAGACGTCACAGACGTCACAAAGAAGCGTTGTCACCCCTGAAGGCTAAGATGGTTTCTTCGTATACGTTACTACCCCTGTTCATTAATGTAGTTTTTCTTACGTTCACCATGAATAGACATTTAATAAACTTGAAAGTCTACTCGAACGTTAAAAAATCAGCATTTATTCGATGGTGCCAGTCAATATTCAATGTGGCGAAGATCGTGAAATTCAATTTAATTTAATTTATTATTTTGTCAAAACTTTATTTATTTTAATTGTAAATAAATAATTATAAATAAACGACGCAATTCTGATCCCAAGACAATTTACCCTTCGTAAGGATACACCAGAAGACTTGCTTAGCTTGCTAGACGTGAAATGTTATCTTCATCATCATCATCATTACAGCCCTTTACAAGTCCACTCCTGAACATAGGCCTCCCCCAAGGTATGCCACAAAGCACGGTCCTGAGCCACCTGCATACATCGACTTCCTGCATGTCTTACCAGGTCGTCACTCCATCTAGTGGGGGGTCGCCCTACACTTCGTCTACCGGTACGAGGTTGCCACTCGAGAACCTCTTTTCCCCAACGGTTGTCGGTTCTTCGAGCTATATGGCCGGCCTATTGCCACTTCAGCTTACTAATCCGTTGGGCTATGTCCGTCACTCTGATTCTACTGCGGATATCCTCATTTCTAAGTTTATCACGCAGAGAAACTCCGAGCATAGCCCTCTCCATAGCCCGCTGAGCGACTTTGAGCGTCCTCATGCGGCCAGCAGTTATAACTATGCCTAATAATCTATGTCCAATAATCTCCGAAAATACAAAAAAAATGTGATAAACAGACATAGAGGCAAGGACACCGAGGTGTCTCTACAAGTGAATCATTTTTGTTAATTCTGAGAACAATATTAATGTTCCTAAATGGAAGCCCACGCGAGTGAAACCGCGGGTAAAAGCTAGCTGTAAATCAAATATTGTCTTATCTACATTTTACACTATAATAACATTTAATCTAAGAACGTACATTTTTTATTATATAAATGTAATAAAAGTTATACACATTATTGATGAAAATGAGAATTAAAATAAAATCAAACAATTATGCTACGTTACCTCGTCTCTTTTGTAATCTGTAGGAAATTAAAACATCAAAATGTAGTAATAACATGCTTAAAATGTCGCATATTTATTACATATCGTGAATAGTTTAGAAATTAGAGAGAACTTAGAGTATAAGAAGTTTAGAGAAAATAGTGTAATGTCATAGCGCGGCATTTTCAAATTTACTATACCTTGGGTAATTTATTCTAAAACTGAAAGAATGAAAAATTTATTTATTTTTTGTTTTATTATAGTTTAACTCTATAGTTTTTAACAATGTCAACTAAAATACGTAATACTACGTACCCATCTGTTTTTATTTATAAAGCGTTCCTTTATTCTTACTTTTTTAGTTTAATATTTTTAATAACTATTATTTATAAACTATTAGTATTAAAATATGACTATATTTATTTTTATTCATCTCTTACCGAAGGAATCCTAAAACAAGAAAAAAATATTTACTCATGTATTGTTTAAATTAATTTATTCTAAACATGTGCATGTACTTACACGTTGCCTTTTTTAAAAACATCCGGCGCATCACCGACTGAAATAAGTTAATATGTTATTTATACATCACCTACATATGACAAAATACATGCAATATACATATGGGCTGTTTTTAGTTTTTTTAAGCAGACTGACGCGGCAGCGATCGTGTCTCTTGGCTGTTTTGTATGTTTAGCTTGTATCTTACATTTGTATGTATTGTATGTGTTATATATGACAGCATCGTTGGTCTAGTGGTTGTAGTAGTAGTACGACTGCTGATCATGAGGTCCTAGGTTCGAATCCCAGGTCAGACTAAAAAATTTACTATTGAGTATTTTCGTCAAGAAATTATCAGTAGCTGCCCGGAGTCAGGATGTTGGCGGTGTCTCACCCCCGTGCCTCGAAAAGCACGTAAAGCCGTTGGTCCTGCGCCTGATCTCTCTCCGGTCGTGTCGGTTTACCGTCCCATCGTATTATGAGACTGAGGGAATAGAGAGTGCACCTGTGCTTGCGCATACACTTGGGCACTATAATCCTGTCCTGCGCCGATGGCTAGCCTACGTTGAGGCAGGCCGCCGTGGTCGAAATTCGGTCTGGAGGACATTATTATGATTATTATTATTATATAACAATAATATGGATTGTAAAGTTAACATGGAAACTATAATTTTTTTAGTTCTCTGACTATTGCAGCGTGTAAAAAATAGACGGACTCACACCTAGGAGAGGTGCCTGTATTTAGGCGACTACAAAAAAAGAGGTCCAGTGTTTTTTTTTAATGTATATTACCCAAGATATTTGTCATTTTGAACAGATTTCGAAGATAATTTTTATTAAATAGGTGTGTAGTGATCTCATAAAAAATTGGACAAAAGATTCCAATCCTAAGCTTTCAAAAATAATGCGGATTTATGTGGAATTATTCATGTTTACGCTATTAAACAGCAATAAGCGTTTATTTACTACCTAAAAATGCTACTGTAAATCCAAATTCACTAAAAACAGCTAAAAGCTGTACAGCTACGTTCTGGCTTGCTGCACTAAAACTAATGCATTTTATTTTCAAAGCATATTCAACCGTTATACAATGTAAATCATCATAATGCTTTTGAAATGCCGATATAAAGCGCCAAGATGCTCGGTAAACTTATATAAGAGTTTATACGGACTATAAGTTCTAGATAAGTTTACTATTCGTTTGTAAAAATGCTTACTGTAATACTTGGGTTGTGACTCATAATGTTAAAAATCTATTAAAAAAAATACATTTTTAGGGGGGAAAATTAGATCCTTTTCCTTTATTTTTGAAATCATGTCAGTAAAAATCTCTTAAAATCTGAAAAATAGCTTCAAGCCCACCGACCCATTATATTTTGACCCATTGAAAATATAATGGCAAATAACACTAAAAGCTTGCTTAAAACATTTCTCAAGTAATTTATTTATTCTTTATTGTAATCCTTGTGTCTTACAATTATAGGCGTACAAAATTTTTACTTTTCATTTTCTGCCAGTTAACCCTGGGGAGTGAGAGAAATGTTGGCAAGTGCAGACTTTGACGAAAAGAAGAGAAAAACGAATAAACAGGTATACATTTTTTTATTTATTATCAGCCAGCCATAATCATCATTACAGCCCTTCACAAGTCCACTGCTGAACATAGGGGTTCCCCAAAGAATTCCATAAATAAAGGCCACCTACATCCATCGACTTCCTGCATATCTTATGAGGTCGTCACTCCATCTATTCGTTCAAGCCAGTGCCTGACCACAATCCCATGTGGTGGTCTTGATGCTTGCCTAAGATAGTAAATCGCACTTTCTTAGCGTAAAAAATACCTATTCACTCTTTCTTCAAAGACATTTAAATTGTATTCAGACGGAAATGAAGACGCTGGCAATATATAAATAATGCATGGAATATCGACAACAAGGGCAGAAGACCCTAACTTAAAAGCACCAATATGTAAACAGATACACACATCGATACTTTATGTATTACTTATAAACATATACACAGAAATACATAAATAAATGGAAATATGAAAGAATATTATGTTTTATTTGCCTTCAGATAATGGTGTCGAAGCAGTATTTTATAACATTGTTTACTCGGAGCACTTTTATTACCTTCGGAAAGGACGTTACAGAGTAGTGTATTTACAGGATTAGGTCTTAAGCGCTGCTTGGCGACAGAAACGGGTGAAAGAGTGAACCAGTTAGAAGAGCCAAGTCTCACCCTTTAAACTGGTACACAAATATATCGGATGGGCTCCTCGGTAGAAACAAGCCCCAGTAGTAGCAAGCTACATCAATATCTAAGGTAACTAACCTGTATACATCCTCCTTTTGCCGTTCTCGTTTATTATTACAGTGGAGCCACCAGTTTTGACAACCTTGCCATTTTCGTCTACCTTATACTCATTTTTAGATGATGCAATTACAGCATTGACCACTTCTCCAGGTTTTGGCTTTCTATTAATAATGTCCTCGGGATTAAGCATTTTGATTTTAGGAAACATCGGTCGTATAGGTTTAATTTTAGGAAACTGGGAAAATGGTTGGAATGTAGGCATCTGCATGGTTGGGAATGTTATTTTAGGAAATGAGAACTGTAAACGAGTAAAAACAATGAATTAAAAAGAAAAGTCATACAGTTTTATGATTATAAATAAAATAAAATAAAATCTGTTCTATTATTTTCTATTCTATTCTAAAAACAATGCATTAAAAACAAAATACAATTTTTAAATCGAAAAAGTTTGTTTAACAGCCGCTGTCTATGGATAAAATATAGAAATAGGTATCCCAATCCAAGTTTCCACTAGTTCTACTTGTTTAATATATAAATCAATATACTGACTAGTTTAATTATTGAACTATTGAAACTGAGGGAAGAGATCCCAGATGTTGAATTGCCGACACAAAACAGAAGTACTTACACTACTTGATTTAACTAAAGCATAAAATCAAGATTTATTATTATCATCGTATTAGGGAGGAGGTACCTTTTATCAAAAGGTTTTTTGGAGTACCTAATATTATTATATTATTAACAGGGGTTAAAGCCACAGCCATTTCTATAATATATAAATTACTCGGACTTTACCCAAAAACCATGAGTAATTTTAAATTAACCTAAATAAACCAAGGCTAGTTTTCATTATTAGTTAGGTGGTCTGAGTTCAACCATTTCATCTCAGTAGTTCAACTCTATGCAATGTAGGGGCGGCGTAAGAATACCCCCTACCCCATAACATTGCGTGGGTGTCGTAAGAGACGATAGGGGAAAACTGAACCAAGAGATGGAAAGTACACTCTTCGTGATGAACAACTGAAAATAATAAAACTCTGCAGTTGTCAACCCGTCTGCGAAGTTTGGCAAATATGGCAAAGTACAAACGATACGATCTACGATCTACGTTCAGCCCAAGACTTATTAGGGCGTAGCCTATAACGTAACTTATAAGAGGTATGTTTCGAAACGTTTTCAGTATACTGCCGAATACAAATGACGTCATCAATTGACACTATATTGTACTGGCGTGCCGCCGCCATATTGTGTCGGACATCCGGCCATAATAAAACAATTTTTAATTGTGTGTGCGTTGAATGAAGCATGCCAGAATTTGTTTTTATTTATTCAAATACTAAAAAATAATAATTGCTGGTATCTCCATTAGGAGGATATAATGATTTTTGGAGCACAAAATGACAAAATAATCGCCAACACTTTTCCAATATGGCACAAATGTATGACGTCATGTCATATACTGCCCTATATTTTGGAACGAATCACCAGTATAGCGTCGATTCATGACGTCATTTGCATTGGACAGTACACTGGGTTCTTTTTTAGAACATACCCAAGGTATACTAACAGATGGATAATTTATTTTTCTTTAATATTATGCAAATAACGCCTCTCGATAGTTTTAGTTTGATTCACGTTTTTATGTCCGCGTCGGAAATAACTTCACTGACTAATTACATTACACGAGTTTTAAATATTTACATATCAAGTTATTTGTAAAATGTTTAAGTTTAACTTTTTTTTTTCAATTCGTAGACACTACTCGTTTAGACGTAATCTTCAGCATAAAAACACAAAAAGTCGTATATCAACTAAGCTAAGCCTTAAAAGGATTTACATTTCAGTTAAACTACCGTGAAAAATATATGAGATGAAAAACATTCAACAATTGATTGAGTAAATAAGTTGAAATGTTATTATTAATAATTGCATTCTATGGTAACTTGTAAGGTTAACGACATGAGAAGTTGGCCAACACGCATTGATGTACATAGCATTGTGTATATTTTCTTTCCCTAAAACCCATTCAGAAATGCGAGGAGGCACGTGATTATCTGTGGATCTCTGATAAAGACTATAGCTTTTATAAAGACGAGCCTTTGGTTAAATTTAAAGCTTTTTTTTTTAATTTATTTAGGACAACCAACATTACGTACACGAACACAATGTAAGTACTACAAATTACAGGAAGGTTTATACAACATGTAACAAAAACCCCGTGGTTTTCGTTAGCTACGTTATCACATTTAAAAAAATTAATTTTAATGAAAAAAAATTATTTTCAAATTTTATGTGGTTTTATTATTTCTGCATTGGCCGAGGAGTAAGAGGATTGTCAAAGACCCCACATTACCGATACTCGTGTGAGTTAGAAGAAATAATACCACATACAATTTGCAAAATATTTTTTTTTCATTAAAATTATTTTTTTAAACGTGTTTTTGAAAAAAAATCCTATGCGCTCGGATACTGATTGTGATAACGCACTTAACGGGAACCACAGGGTTTTTGTTACATATTGTATATAAGTGTCGTCTTAATTAACTTCATTTTATATTTTCTTTTCTGTTTAAAATATATATTTTTTATTTCATTTAAATGTATTTAAGTAAAAGCTATTTATAATAATATTATTTATATTTTACCTGTGAGCCTGTAAAAGGAAATCTGAAATAGAAAAATAATTGGTAAATGTAACTGTTTCGAATGCTTACAACATCCATTGTCACGTAATACTTAAGGGAATTATAAACATGTCAAGGACACACACGGAATATATTAAAAAACCCTCTCAGTAATGAGAGGAGGTCTGTGCCCAGCAGTGGAACGCACAAAGGCTGTAACTTTTCTTTTACATAATTTCTATTGATATTTTTCAATAAATATTTTTGTTAATAAAAAGCATTATCGGAATAGTACCATAGAAAAGTCTTAGTAAGTTTCATGTGCCAGGTAAGAAACTATTGTGTTGTATGGCTCGTTTTCGACCATGTAGTGCAACCACTACTGTATTACGATAAAAATCCACAATAATAACAGATGTTTTATTTTAAGCCCTGGGGGTGAAAACGCGTCTAGCTATTTTCGTTTAAATTTAGAAGGTGAATTGTTAGCTACTTGTCATTATTTATTAATATCCTCCCGTGTTTCTTGTAAGAAGCGACACAGGGTACGAAACATGATATGGGTAACAGTGTCTTCTTGATAACAACTTAAAAAAAAACTGCAACTGTGAAATATATTCCCTTACGTGGCAATCTATGGGGGAGCCCTATTTATTTTTATTTTTTATTATGTGCGAGCAGCTATGCAGGTCTAGGGAAAGAGACCAGTATCACTGCGACCTAGAAGATCTATTGTGATCGCTGCTATGGCTATAGTTTACTGCTTAGCCTTATGTTTTCAATGAATAGGAGTTGTTGCAATTTCACTACTTCTGGACGGAGTAGATAGTTTTCCAGATGAGTGTTACGTTTGCGTATTAAGGGTCCCCAGTCAGTTAGGATGTGCAGAGGCGTTTCTTCCGTTATGGAACAGAACCGACACATCCTTGAGTTGCTTACAACCAGGATGGACATGTGCTTTTTAAGACAACGGTGTCCAGATGGGGCTCTTGCCAGAATGCGCAATTTATTTTTACTTAATCTCAGGGCTTCTGAAGCGAATTTATGATCAAAAGCCCGGATCAAGTTTTTAGAATGTTTTAAGCCTGGTGTTTCAGACCAGATTTTAAGTAATTTATAGTGATAAAGAGTTTCAAGGGTCAATCGGGCTAGGCTTCTTAGAGCCCTCCCGCGCAAGTTTGTCGGCAAATTCGTTGCCTACAATACCCGCGTGACCCGGAACCCATCGTAAGACGACCCTGTTGTTACATCCCAGGGCGTTCGGTTCACGCAGTCTCCAACTAGCTTCGAGTTCACTAAGTTTGACCTCAGCACTAGCAGGGCTATTTGACTATCAGAGTTTATATAAATTATATGGTCGACGTAGTGTTTTTGCAGATTGATTTCCTCACACTCAAGTATGGCGAAATTTTCTGCCTGGAAGATGAATAGGTGAATCACGTGAATTCATACCAACTTTAAATTTGGGGCGATCCCCGTAAATTCCAAAGCCTACATCGAGGCCCATTTTAGACCCATCGGTATACCATATGAGGCTACCAACCTCACAGATAACCTGGCCATTCAGCCAGTTTTCTCTGAAGAGTAATTCCACTATATCTTTTTATCAAAAGTGTGTAGTGGACGCATGATATCTGAGATCATGCATAAGACCGGTGATTCCTTAATTGAGTCGAGCATGGAGCTCAATCTGTAGAAGAGCAAGCTCAGACCGCCCTCGGCGTTAATCCTTTACAAACTAGCCCTCGCTTTAATCCTATATAAACTAGCTCTCCATTAGGAGAGGGGTATCGATATCCTTCTTCCCTATCTGGTGAAAATCTTCAGAGCAAGTTTTGCATGGGGATGTATTTCAGAACGATGGACAATAGTCAATGTTCTATTTATACCTAAGGCTGGTAGAAAGGACTACGCTCTATTAAAGTCCTTTAGACATATATGCCTATCTACCTTCCTTCTAAAGACATTGGAAAAGGTTATAGATAGATATATATAAGGGATGTGGCTTTAGCAACGAGGCCCATACATTACAACCAGCATGCTTACCGCAGAGGCAAATCTACGGAAACAGCCCTGATCAGTGTTATTGACAGGGTGGGAAAAGCAAAGGAGGATAAAGTAATAGTTCTTTGTGCCTTTCTAGAAATTGAGGGCGCCTTCGATATTAGCCCCACATCATAACAATGACTTCAACCATCAGGTAATTGAAGTCGATGCTCTCAAATATAAAGTCAAAGTCAAAATAGCGCTGTTTCAAACTTCGATTGAGGTTGCAACTACAGGAGCCTGCCCACAAGGAGATGTTTTGTTAGCCCCTTCTTTGGACTCTTGCGGTTGAACAACTATTGTACAAGATGGCAGACCTACGCATTGACACACTGGGTTATGCTGATGACCTTGTGAACATTACGAGGGGCTTTTGCCAAAGTACTTTATCGTCAATCATACAAAAAGCCCTAAACACCATAAATAACAGGTGTATGTATAACAGTTTATCGGTTAATGCTGATAAAACTGTTTTAATACCCTTTATCAAAAAGATACTGTTGGACAAATTAGTCACACAAAAACTAAATAATAAAGAACTACCATTTTCCACTGAAGTTAAGTACTCTCACCTTAGCAACGTATGCCATCATAGTAGGGCTGATTCTCACCTACGCCTCAGCTGTCTGGTGCGACAAGGTCAACCAAAAGATGACTGCGGACAGACTAAATAGTTAACAAGGACTGCCTGCTTTGGAGAAACACCAGTCTTATGCATGATCTCAGATATCATGCGTCCACTATACAATTTTGATAAAAAGTATAAAGTGGAACTACACTCCAGAGAAAACTGGCTGAATGGCCAGTTGTCTGTGAGGTCGGTAGCCTCATATGGTATACCGATGGGTCAAAAATGGGCCTCGACGTAGGCTTTGGAATTTATGGGGAGCGCACCAAATTCAAACTTAGTATGAATCTCAAGAAGCCTAGTCCGATTGACCCTTGAAACTCTTTATCAGAACAAATCACTTAAGATCTGGTCTGACACACCAGGCTTAAACATTCTAAAACCTTAATCCGGGTTTTTGATAGTAAATTCGCTTCAAAAGCCTTGGGATTAAGTAATAGTAATTACGCATTCTGGCAAGAGCCCTAACTGGACACTGTTGTCTTACAAAGCACATGTCCATCCTGGGATTAAGCAACTCAAGGATGTGTCGGTTCTGTTCCATAATGGAAGAAACGCCTCTGCACATCCTAACTGATTGCGTGCCCTTAATGCGCAACCGTAACACGCATCTGGGAAACTATCTAGTCCGCCCAGAAGAAGTGAAATTTCTCACGGCTAAGCAACTCCTTCTATTTATTGAAGACATAGGGCTTAGCAGTGAACCAAACCAGCGATCACAGGTCATACACATAGGTCGCAGTGATACTGATCTCTTTCCCTAGACCTGCATAGCTCCTCGCACATAATAAAAAAACCATACCAACTTAGTTAGATTTCAGCAATTTGCTTAATACAATCAATTTTAGTATATATTTAAATATGTTGCGCTCTTTCACAAAAAAGTTTTTCGTTAATTAATCCAAAAGTATGCGTACTAATTTCAAGTAAAATATTTTAACGATTTTTCTTAATACTAATTTGAAATCGCGTAAAAAGTTTCTTAAAAACTGGAATTTTAATAGTGGTGAGCTACGAGACAGCTTTTGCTGTTGCACGTATGGGCCGGCTCGAACCGGGGTGGTACAACGACCTTAACATGGTAACGGAATTAATTAAAAACTACCCCAGGAGGGTACCAGCACCCCTGGTGACAGAGAATCCCTTGATGAGCATCCACGACCAAGCTATTCTACTCTTCCTGAGCGTGGTAGTTCAGGCTGCCCGCCTATTCTGGGGGGAGAGTACTCGGGCCGAGCACCGAGCGCACCAAAAAATTCTTAAACAGAATTCGAATTTTTTGAAAATATTTGTCTGCCGGTTTGTTCGAACTTAACTTTTGGAATGGCTGAACTGATAATGATGAAACTTCACGAATAGATAGAGAGCAATTCCAGAAGTGATCTAGGCTCTCTAAGCACTAATGAAAATTTTTACATGTACTAGAAAAAAAATTAATTGTTTCTTACCCCTGGAATGGATCGTTGTTTTTGTTATATCCACTAGCTTGGATAGCTGTAAAAAGCAATATTTTTGTTTAATTATACTTTCAGTAAGTTAATTAAGTTAATTAGATGTAACTGTTAGATAAAGGTCATTTCAAGAACGCGCATAATGAAATACCTGAAACAGTTGCGTATATCTCACATTCGTATATTCCTTATGAAATTAACTAGGGTGATTAACCAACAAACGATCATTAACATAAGTGCTAAAAATATTTTTTTTAATTTTCTTAAAAGAAAAAAAGAAAAAGCATTAAAAAAATAATGGTGACAAGCGAACACGCAGTACTCCTTATGGTCTGTACCTAAATGTTGTCGCTCATAGACATCTACCCTCGATAAACAATCAAAATCCAGATGCGTTGTCACCCCTGAGGACTAAGATTGAAGGCCTCGTTTCCATTGGAAAAGGTCTCCGGTTTTTTGCACTCACCATACTAAACACAACAATATTTTCTATTTTATACTGTTTTTCTGTGAGAGCATGATTCTTTCCCGGTTGAGCCGATCCATTCTTGTTACAACGAGACCCTTTTTACTGAAAACGAGGCACTTTGTGCGTGTGCTCGTTTGTCAGCCTTACCTATAAAAAAAAACTATATTATAACTGCAGTATGTCTCTACTATCCCGTTACTAAAGTGTTTTCAAATTCGACAACAGATAATACCATTATAAGCCATTCTAAACTAAAGAAAGATACCTTTTACATGAAGGCTGCCTACAGGCTTTCACTGTCATGTTTTCTCAAAAAAGTTAAACGTAGTTAATTCCAAGTACTTAATTAAGTTTTAAATGAAAAATAACTTGTTAGATCACGAATTGTTTTAATTTTAATTCATCAGACAGCTGTTTAAACTCTAAAATTACGTAACGAAATTGGATAGGTGTTTGACTGTTGTTTTCTTCAAATTATATACCATGGTAGCTCAGATTGTTAGCGCTCGCTGTAATTTTCACAGTACGCGAGCAAACCGAGTTCAATCTCTGCCGGTACCAATGAAATCTCTAAATGCAATTTTAAGTGCTGATTTACCACGTGCTCGTCGGTGAAGGAAAACATTGTGAGGAAACCTGAATGTCCGAGAAATAAGAAAAAAATATTTCGAAGACATGTGAAGGTTGCTAATACGCTCTGGGGCAGTGCGGCGAACATTTCCCTGCCCTAAAACCCTCTCAGAAATGAGAGGAGGCCTGTGCCCAGTGGTGAACGTACAAAGGCTGTAACTTTAACTAACTTTTAACTTTAACATTAGAATAACATAGACAATGTAGTGGTGACGTAGATGATTCACTATCCAATATGATTATGACACAGGGAAATTGAAACAGGAGATGGCCAGCACCATCTTATAAAAAAGCTGCGGTAACAACCTGCCTTATACATGGCAACTGGGGCAATCCCCTCTAATTTATTACTGTAAGTAATAAGTAAAATAATACATATTTTTTTATAGAATCAGGGTGACAAACGAGCTGCGTGCTCGTTTGTCACCCTGATCCACCTGATAGTGAGTGGGTAATATGGCTCATAGTACCTCATTTTAATTAAAAAAATCTCCGATTCTCTACACCTGCCATACGAGACACATCAGCTTTAAGTTGCTATTTTACGCGGGTATTCGGTGAGAGCGTGGTCTTACCCCGGTTGAGCTGATAATAATATTGTTGATATATTATATAAGGTGTTAGAAGGAATATGGCAACGTTTTCTCTAAGTGCCAAAGTCTTCTGAACGCGGTGTACCCCATTAATAGACGGATCAGGCTCCGATGAACGACTGATGGCGGAAGATTTATCAAAAGTCACTGAATCTTAATTTCATAGGCTGGCACTGTACTCACAAGTCCATCTCTGATTAGCGTGACGTGTTTGAGAAAATGCCAGAATAATATAGTGTAATAGGACCATAATGATATGGTTTCGTATGATGAGAATCGGATACCCTTCTTATCTCGGAACGAGCCCTTCTATCTAAGTCCTCAGGGGATATCATCGCATTTACAGACATGACAGACGTATGTTTCTATAGGCCATAGCATTCACTTAACATCAGATGGATTTGCTCTCTACGCTCGTTTTTCACAAAGTTAGAGGCTGACGTACACTTCGCTTACCGTTACGAAACTGCCATTCGAGAACCTGTTTTCCCCATCGCTTGTCGGTTTTTTAAGAGCAATTGGATGTAGGGATATTTATTTATCCCATTGTCAAGAAGCCGTGTAAATGCGGTGCTAGAATATCCACTACCCCATATCACACCGTGGGTGTCGTAAGAGGGAAACAATTTAACAATTTAGAGGGGCAGCAGCGTCTTCCTAAAACGACTAGAAATAAAAAAAAACTGCGGTGCTCAACCCGCTTGAATATGACAACCCCCTCCCCCCCTGCTCATGTGGCAGTCTATGAGGAGGCCTATTTTCAGCAATGTGCTGTAACGGTAACTGTCAAGAAAAGAACTCTGGGGTTTTTTTCGAGTTCGGAAGAAAGCCGTAGGCAATTCAATAATTTCTAAAACTATATACAGAAAACATTAATAAACTACTTTTTGGAGTTTCTTTTTTTTTATTTTAAATACATATACTCATCGTTAAATGGGCATTCAAAACAATAAGGTTTAAAAACTCACCGTTAGCTCCAACCATCACCAAAAGGATGGTATAAAGAAAGAAACTCGCCATTTTTCAGGTGTAATTTCGACTCGGCTGCGAAGAAATCGTTCGATTTTATTGCTATTACTGCAGAACTCAAAACTACAATGAAACTTTATGCGACAAATACCCGCTTAAGTATTAAAAATAATAATGTCGTTCTTGGGAACGGTTCAAGCTGTGTAAATAGTGCGACGAATAGGCATTTTGTTTTCCTTGAATCTTATTGAACAACTCACGTAAAGCATAACGCATCACAAAGAAAATTCATCACATTGTTCAATTAATTGTACGAAATTTCGTGGAAGCTATATTAACTCATTTGGACACTTACGTATTGAGTATTAAAGTGTTATTTACTATGTGTCGGATTTATACCTTGTATGCAATACGTATAACTATTTCTGAGAATAGTGAAGCGTGTAATGAAACCATATATAATGACTTTCGTGACTAAGAAACACAATAAACTCGGAGTATTTTTACTATAAGTATGAAAAATTTGCACATGATAGAAAAAAATCACGTAATATCGGAACAACATATTTGTGTTTTCATAGCTAGATTTACTAATATAAAAAAATGCATAAAACGTTCTTTACTATAAACCTATCTAGATTAACGTAATATGTTTATACGTGCTAATGTAGTTAAGGTTTTTACTTTTTTATTCTTTATCCTCCATGGTAAATTAATTTTAGTAATAATTTTATATACACTAATTGCACATGGACAATCATGTAGATCAGGAATAATTATACGACCATACAAAAAATTTCCAAACGTGGTCACCGTGCTACAGAGCCGTTAAGGCTATATAAAAATATGAAATCATAATAGTGTAGGTAAATAGAAAAAAATACAGTCACAGCTATTTTCAAAAAGGAAGATCGGTGTTAGGAACTAAACATATTGATTAAAAATAATCACACAATAGAAAAAGCGCTAAACGTTACCAACACAATCGTCAAAAAATCACGAATATACTTGAGAATTAATTCGTCACTTACCTATTTTAAATTTTTACCTTTAATGGGCTGAAAAAAGTTACCGGTTTATATTATTTTAACGTGCTTTTACCCAAATACGTTTATTTATTTTGTGGCGATGCTTATAATCGACAATGCGCTGTCCGCATTACACTTGAAAAAGTGCAACTGACTTTCTTGTTTTTAATTGCATTAGGTAAATAAAACTGGTCGCCTTTAGCGTGACATTCAAACGTGTGTGTCACTCCTTTATCTTTGATAAACTTTTGTTTCGCTAATTCTCATTACTTATTCTATGTTTACCTTTCTCGATGGAATTCAGAAAATAACATTAAGTATTATATTTGAAACCTATAATCATTATTATCTCGGCGATTTTATTATCGCAGAAATACAACGCGTGTGGTAAATTAGATTAAAACTGTAATTTGTTACAATTTTCTGCGACTTAACGAGACGCGATTTCCTACGAAAACTGCAAAATTGAACTTGTAATATTAAGACCTGCGCGAATTGCGCTAATAAAATAGCGGCACTATTTGCATACCGTTTCATAATAAATAATGTCGTCGAGATGCATATTTGAACCGTGCAAGTCTGTTTTCACGGACAGACAGACGTCTTGCACTTCTTATGATACTCCCCGACACCATAACGCAGCGTGAGGTTAGCGTTTGGAGTTGGAGAAAGTTATTGATAAACATAGACTTAGGGTGTATACTATACATATATACTCGTAGAAACCGTATAGTCATTCCCCTACAAGCCTAGCTGATGTTATTAAAAATGAAACGTAGATCATTTTTACTGGAAACGAGGCATTCCATCTTAGTCCTCAGGAGTGATGACGCATCTGTATTTTGTTTCTTAATCGAAGAGAGACGTAGATGTATAAGGGCCACAGCCTCCACTTACCATAATTCTATAAAAATAAATAAGTAGTTTGATATATTATGTCCGGGAAAAACATCCAACTTGGTAAACTTACGTTTACAAATTGTTTTAAGTTTATATATTGTACGTGTATTACTACAATTCATTCGAAATAAGTGTGACTAACACAATGATTATGCAAAACGAAACTATTGTTATTTCGTTCTATATTTAGCGGTTTCGACTATTGGAAGTAAGAAAAGACAATTTCCGCTCGTCTGTCATAATCAAAGGTCCAGTCCTTTTTGGGCATGTCGACAACCGAGATCTCCGGCCGTGCAATCCCATTTCGTGTTTTCTTTTACTAAAATGTTGTAATAACGACATGGTTTATTCCAAAAATATAATAAAAACGTTTTTCTTACCTAATTTTACATTATAACACAACATTAGTGCTAAAAGTGAAGAAATAAACTCGAAGTAGTGTACCCAATTTTTGTATAGGAATAGGGTATATTTAAATTATTAATTTCACAACAGAAGAGAATGAAAGCACACAAAACTACGTGCAAATATTAAAGATCATTTATATTTCTCGATACTTTTATGTCTTCAGCAAATAGTAAACAAGAAAACACTAAATAGTTGGGAAGGGACGCCTTAGAAGAAGGTTCATCGACCAAATTGGCGATATTTTGAAAATGGACCACATTCGGTGTACCCTTAACCGACGACCGTGTATGTGTAGATATATGAATAGACGTACAGGTGTAGATGTAAAGGAGGCGAGAGAGGTATGTCACGATCGTGCCAAATGGAAGACCGTAGTCTCTGCCTACCCTTATGGGTGACAGGCGTGAGTGTTTATGTTTATGTTTAAAACACTAAATACGAGATAAAACTGCCGCTAAACAAGCGCTGCATTGGGTAGATTTAATGACGATTTTCGACTGGCAATATTTTCAAAATTGTCAAGGAATTACCTTAGATTATTCGAGAGTAAATAATCTAAGGGAATTACATACTAAAACTTTTTGTTATCTAGCTTTGTCTATTAACAAGCCTTTCCATAAATATGAACGGGCTATGTATCCGGCAAAATATAAAATTAAACGATGTCCCAGGCGGGAGTGTGACAGTCTTGCGTCCGTACATCTCGGACGTTACGTACGAAACTTTTTGAAGATAAGCAATACAACAAATATTCTACCATGGACAAGTGGCCAGAGTGCCTTCTTAAGGTATCTTACGACCAATCAACACTTTGAAAATTATTCTGCTAAGAACAATGTCATCTCCTGAATGGAGACAGATCGGGCACAGGACCAATGGTTTTTACGTACATTTCGAATCATGGGGAGTGAATTACTGCCGACTGCCTGACTCGGGGCTACTGAGAATTTCTTGACCGAAAACTCCAATAACTAATGCCCGATCCGGAATTTGAACCCGAGACTAGTGATGCAACGAATACTACTTTAGCGAATTCGAATACGAATATCAAACCTTATATTCGGCGAATACGAATACGAATATCTCGCCATGGTAATAAATAACTGATTCATTCGATGATTTTCTATTGTTCTAATAATTAGAATTCACAATAGATAAGTTTTTATTTAAAAAACATAAAATTTGTAGATTTTCTGGTTTTAGGCGATTTCTTTTTTCAGTATGGATGTTCCCAGCCGTTGAAAAAAGTTATTCTGTGGCAACTGTACATAGTTTTAGTGAAAAATATTTTGGGGGGGTTTTTTCAGCTTTGAAAAATGGACACGATCTTGCCAAAAGGCCAATGTATCAGCAGTAGGAGATAAATTTGGGAGCTTTAGATAATCATTTAGTTTTCCGTTTGCGAAACCCCTGTAAAAATATTTTGAAATTAAATTTTACTTCTACTATGTAGATGACAATGAACACCTACAATGAAATATTTAGATATCTGATATTGGTAAGATTTATCGAAGTATTTCCATATTATGTCACTTTGATCTCATTTACGACAAGACATTTCAACTTCAACTTCTTTAAACAATTAAACTAAAGTATACTCTCTTGCTTGACCTGTGCTTTCGTTCGACTGGAAAATGAAATGAGTGAATCAATCCAGGGTTCGTGTAGGGTAGTGATAGGGAAACCCCGGAGCCCCGTCGTTGCAGCTAAGGGTACACGTCGTATTTTTTCGCGCCGACGACGCGCGTTTTCCAAGTCTGCCAGTAATTAGAGTTGCTTAAAAATATTAGTTTTTAAATATTCATGATTATACAACATCTCCGAACTATCACATGGAGCGTTGGCCGCTCCCCGGGCATAACACCTTGCCCGGCGGGAGATCTCCCCTTTCCCTTCTACGGCCACAGTGGTGACCCCGACGTGATCTGAACACGCAACCAACAACCTTCGAAAACTTCAAGCTTCATCAACGTCATAGAATACCCCACCCATTCGCTCCCGAGCAGATATCGTCTGCAGTCTTCATATCCTGCAAGCCATCTAGCTTCACAAGGTTCATCGCAGCACTGGAATAATAATGCTTCCTGTTCCTTCAAGCTACTCTCTGCGCTATACAGTGTTCGGCACGGCTCTGAGCCTTACTGCTCGCCTCTGCTTCACGGCACTCTCGCAGATTACTTGTCTTCTTCTCGACTCACCGCAGACTACAAGGCTATCTCCTGGTACTTGCACATTCGTCGGCAACGACGCTGCACTATCGACATCCGGTCTGAGCAGGGGGTGATGTAGCGGCGCTATCGTCGCGCCACTAGCCCACCGAAACACACCGAAGCCTAAATCGCGCTATTAACATTCCGAATCGTAGGCAGTATATATATATACAACATCTCCGAACTATCACATGGAGCGTTGGCCGCTCCCCGGGCATAACACCTTGCCCGGCGGGAGATCTCCCCTTTTCCTTCTATGGCCACACATTATATACATTGACAGAATGACAGAAATACAATACAATTATATACTACATTTATACACATACACTACGATTATACACACATCACTTATAAAATGTAAATATTCATGTTAAACTCAAATAGACACATAAAATAAAAAAAGTGTAAATAAACTAACAACAAACCCAAAAATATATTTTAAGTCTATGCAACAAACCATATTAACTCACGTCTGATGTCTTTTAATAAGTATTCGCGTCCCAATCTTTTAAAGGCAGTTATGCTGTATGACTTCTCACTTAGTACATATTCTAAGTCTATGATGACTCGTACAATCATAAAATATAATAATGTAATACATTGTGAACAGTAACACGTTGAGTCGAGACGGATTTTGTATAGGAGGCAACGGCCACAAAATTATCTTCGATTACTCATACGAAACAGGTTAAGATGCGATAATTTTGGTGGGATTCCGTAAGAGTTGGTGAGATTTAATTAATATTTTTTGTTATAATACGAAAACATTATTCAACTTGTGACCTGGCTTCCAAATCGTGAAGTAAAGGGTTGAACCCATTGTACGAAACGTTTACACAACGTACACATTTTAAAAACGTGTATTGTTTTTTATCTTTTGTGTTTGAGTCTACAAACAATATTACACTTTATTATTTTAGACTTTGGTTCATTTTTGTAGGGGCAGTGTAAAAAAAAGTATAGTTACATAATGATTTCTTATATTTACGCGAACACTACACATTGAAATAATACTAGTTTTTACGGAATTTATCGCGTATATTTAACTTTTTAATTACCCGACGTTTCGAGAGCTTTACAGCACCCATGGTCACGGGAAGGACTGAGATGTTCAACGTCCAGCTGTCATAGTTAACCGCGGTTACCATAGATTAAAATTTAACTTTTGTTCCGACCTACACAGTATGAACTTATGGTATCATGGAGTCTTGCAGTTGTATGCTTGGGTTGGGATTTAATTTTATTTATTATAGGATCCCAAGCAGATGGTAGCACCCAGCCATCTTCTCTATTGAAATTAGGATGTTTTTTGATTTCAATAGCCTCGCGAATCATCCTTGGAAGGAATCGGTGTTCTTTAGCGAGGATTTATGGTCTATCAAATCTGATGTAGTGACGAGGGCGATCCTGTACATGTTCACAGACTGCAGACTTCCCGGAGCGTCGATTCTTCACATCAGCTATATGTTCTTTGACGCGGGTTTTAATTGATCTTTTAGTTTGTCCTATGTAGGAGAGACCACATTCACAATCAAGCTTGTACACTCCTGCATCTTGCAGAGGGACGTTACACTTGACTGATGGTAAAAACTGACCAATCTTCTTCGGCGGCTTGAAGTATGTTTTGATGGAAGCGCGCTTCAAGATGTAGCCAATCTTGTCAGTGACTCCTCTAACATATGGCAGTACAGCAGGTACACGCTCGACTGTGGCCGGCTTCACTCGTTCTCTGTGACGTAGGCGCGGGACCCGAAGCTTGTTGTCATGCAAAACTTGCTTGACATGTTGGAGCTCGGCAGCCAGGTGTTTACTGTCACAGATCCCTCGTGCTCTCTGAAACAAAGATTTACCCACGGTAGCTAACTGTGAAGGATGGTGGTGAGAATCACCGTTTAAATATCTATCTGTATGGGTCTTTTTTTCTATACACAGTATGGCTCAAGGTAACACCTTGAGGAATATCTATCTGTATGGGTCTTTTTTATACACAGTATGGCTCAAGGTAACACCTTGAGCCATACTGTATATAGAAAAAAAGACCCATACAGATAGATATTTAAACGGTGATTCTCACCACCATCCTTCACAGTTAGCTACCGTGGGTAAATCTTTGTTTCAGAGAGCACGAGGGATCTGTGACAGTAAACACCTGGCTGCCGAGCTCCAACATGTCAAGCAAGTTTTGCATGACAACAAGCTTCGGGTCCCGCGCCTACGTCACAGAGAACGAGTGAAGCCGGCCACAGTCGAGCGTGTACCTGCTGTACTGCCATATGTTAGAGGAGTCACTGACAAGATTGGCTACATCTTGAAGCGCGCTTCCATCAAAACATACTTCAAGCCGCCGAAGAAGATTGGTCAGTTTTTACCATCAGTCAAGTGTAACGTCCCTCTGCAAGATGCAGGAGTGTACAAGCTTGATTGTGAATGTGGTCTCTCCTACATAGGACAAACTAAAAGATCAATTAAAACCCGCGTCAAAGAACATATAGCTGATGTGAAGAATCGACGCTCCGGGAAGTCTGCAGTCTGTGAACATGTACAGGATCGCCCTCGTCACTACATCAGATTTGATAGACCACAAATCCTCGCTAAAGAACACCGATTCCTTCCAAGGATGATTCGCGAGGCTATTGAAATCAAAAAACATCCTAATTTCAATAGAGAAGATGGCTGGGTGCTACCATCTGCTTGGGATCCTATAATAAATAAAATTAAATCCCAACCCAAGCATACAACTGCAAGACTCCATGATACCATAAGTTCATACTGTGTAGATCGGAACAAAAGTTAAATTTTAATCTATGGTAACCGCGGTTAACTATGACAGCTGGACGTTGAACATCTCAGTCCTTCCCGTGACCATGGGTGCTGTAAAGCTCTCGAAACGTCGGGTAATTAAAAAGTTAAATATACGCGATAAATTCCGTAAAAACTAGTATTATTTCAATTCAAAGTAAAGTTACAGCCTATATACGTCCCACTGCTGGGCACAGGCCTCCGCTCATTTCTGAGAGGGTTTTAGGGCAAGGAATTGTCCGCCGCGCTGCCCCAATGCGTGTTGGGAACTTCATGTCTTCGAAAAAATGTTTTTATTATTTCTCATACATGCAGGTTTCCTCACGATGTTTTCCTTCACCGCCGAGCACGTCGTAAATCAGCACTTAAAATTTCAATTAACTATGTCATTGGTGCCGGCGGGGATCAAACCCGGTTTGCACGCGTACTGTGAAATTTACAGCGAGCGCTAACCATCTGAGCTACCACGGCTCGCATTTGGCGGGCATAGTGGCAGTGTAGAAATGGACATTTATACACAATATCCACTATCCCATGTCGTCGCGTGGGTGTCATAAGAGGCGACAGAGGGAATCTGACACAGGATATGGGCAGCAGCATCTTCCCGATAAAAACTCAAAGTGATAACAACTGTGACTTTGGCAAAATCCATATAAAATAATGAGGCAGGGGGTCCTATAAAAGTGAAGTCTATAAAAGTCTATTGCTGCTCACGGCCCGTGTTCAGCTGTGGACTTTTATAGGCTGTAGTGTATCTTTCTTGGGATGGGGTTTATTCAAACCGACTTAACAACAGGAGAAGAAATATTGGATTGGATAATGATCACTTCTCTAGCCTATTTTTACCGCAATGGTGACCTTCTAATACTCTCGGAAGCTCAACTACTCAAAAGACACGCACTATAGTACTTACTTACTTAGTATAGTACTAGTATGCATAACTGTACTCGCTAACAGAGGAACACTCCCTCACACACACTCTCTGCACTATAATTTTAGCTTTGGCTAATGTTCATATGAAAAACCCTGTACTTTTTGCGCCGTCGCCCCTAAAGACTAAGGTTTCCAAAAAATAGGATTTTTGGTCCTCTACATTCACCGTACAAAACACATGATCATTATGTTGCCATTTCACTTTAGTTGAAACGACCTGCGGGTGTTCTACAAAGTAAGAATACCTAAATAGAACTATTAATTTCAAATTGACTGAGTGTATCTATAAGCTTTTCATTCTTTTCTTAATATTAGTAGGCAGTATTAACACGAATGGGTCGTCTTGACTAGGGTAGGACCGCGGTCTCACGAAATAGTAACGTCACGGACGCCCGTCCTGAGATACGTAGTTAGTGAGTCGGAAGAGTTTATGTAAATTTAAAATTATTTGGACGTTGTTTAAGTTAGAATTTTTGTGCAAAAGTTAAACATCTGTGTACTGCGAACCTTATATGGTGTGGATACATTAGAGTGTTTAGTGATTAGTGAATAAATAGTAAAAAAAAAACAACATTTACATATTAAAAACATTTTATTTTTAAATGTCATCGAATAAAATTTAATAACATAATACCGTCATATAGTACTGATCAACACAGCTCCATCTCACGCTTCTGTTGTGTACTAATAAATCAACGCATAATTTTGCTTTATCAACTACTCGTATTAAAACTTATTGATCATGGCAGTTAAGTGCAGTGCGTGCGGTAAATACATGTCTCCGCAAGATGGCGCTAATGTTACTTGTACAAAGTGCAATAAACAGCTACATCGTGCGTGTGTAGGCATCCCAGTGGGCGCTTCACTAATGCCATCCTGGGCTTGCCCTGAATGCAAATTGAAAGAAAAACGTTGCAACAAGGACACAACGCCGATAAAACCCGCAACAATTACTGTTGCTAATTCGAGTGAGGTTTCAAACCTCGGAGAGGAATTGCGATGTTTCCGAGAAGAAATGCAACAAACCCGCGAAGAATTTCGGGCATTCAGAGAAGAACTTCAGGACATAAGAAACCTTGTCAGCAAATGCGATGCTCGTTTAGATAAGCTCGAGTACACGGTCCAAACTATCCTGGAATCACAAGAGCAATATGGCTCTCAAGGATTAAAAATTGAAATCCTAAAACTCGAGTCGACCGTCAATCAGCTGCAAGCTGACTTAAACGATAGGGATCAGGAGTTGCTTGCAAATGACGTCGAATTAAGTGGCATTCCAGAGGAGATTGGGGAGAACCCAACACACTTGGTTCTATCAGTTGTGACCAAGCTTAGTGTTCATTTGGAGGAAAAGGCACTGGGCCATTGTATGCGAGTGGGGGGCGGCCGCCAGGATGCCACGTCTCGTCCGCGGCCCATCGCTGTGCGGCTGGCGCGGCGCGACGTGCGTAACGACGTGCTGCGTGCTTCCCGCGTCCACCGGTCTCTAACAACCGAGGCTCTAGGTCTTAAGTCCGCACCCTTCAATATCTATATAAACGAACGACTGACTAAAACAAATAGGCAGTTGTTTCGCATGGCACGCGAGACAGGCCGCAAGCAGGGATGGCGATATGTTTGAACGAAGGGAGGCCGAATTTTTGCACGTCGGGAAGCAGGAGCTCCAATAAATCGCATTCGCTAAGTCCGCACCCTTCAATATCTATATAAACGAACGACTGACTAAAACAAATAGGCAGTTGTTTCGCATGGCACGCGAGACAAGCCGCAAGCAGGGATGGCGATATGTTTGGACGAAGGGAGGCCGAATTTTTGCACGTCGGGAAGCAGGAGCTCCAATAAATCGCATTCGCTTCAACGCGGATATTGCTAAGGTTTATGGGTCCGAATTTGTTCGATCACCATAACTGTCTCTCAGTTTACCTACAAAAATGAATTAGTGTTTTTAATTTCTTTATTTAATTTTGTAACTATTCACTATCGTCAGTTGTTTTGTGGCTACTCGTATATACCCATAGTTATTAATAAGATTTATTTACAACTTCGAAATAATACGAAATCCCATTTAAAAAAATATATAGTCGGGCCAAGTTATCGTAATAAGCTATTTGTATTTCCATTTACAGTCATAAAATATTTGCTACCCATATACATTATTTGTTATAGTCTTTTGAATTTTATTAGTGCATCATTTGTTATTAACTGTTTACCAAACAAAGTAAATGTCTTTTTACATTACTCAGACTTTATAAAGCTTGACGCTCATTGTTGTTGTTATTATGAGCGTAGTAGGACAATGTCTACAGGGCCGATACGTATGTATATTTATGTTACTTCCTTTATAAGCTTTATAGGCATTAGTTATTTAAATGTAAGAAAATATGTATATCCCCTAAATCCTACCCGTTATAATTATTTGCTAAATTCAGTTAACATTCTTATGATATCACAAACCTACAACAACATAAATAGAGTAATGAAACAAGCTCAGAGTAGGAACAATTATTGTGAGTATTACTCTGATATTTGTTGGTCAAAGATGTCAATTGTGAATATACTTTTATATCATACAACATGACAAGTAATCTTAAGTTAGGGCTTCTAAATGTAGGTTCACTAGGTACAGGCCATGAAGAACTAGTAGTAGCTATAGATCGCCACGCTGTCGATTTAATGGCGATTAACGAAACTTGGTTGCATGAGGGTGAGGAAGCGCGCGCCCGCGGTGCCAGGATACCGGTTACGTCACATTCCCCGACCGACCAATGTGCGCTCGCGAGGTGGCGGAGTTGGCTTCTACATACGGCAGGGTCTAGCTGTTAGAACGTTGCCTCATCCATCGACTCCGCTTGTAGAACAGATGTGGCTTGCTCTAACTATTAACGGTACTAAGATCGCGATTGGTACTGTCTATAGACCACCATGGTTAAACGTAGACACATTTTTCGATGCTTTGTCTGAAACTATCGGGACTCTTGCATGGTGCAATTATATAATCTTGTTAGGGGACTTTACTATAAATGTATTGAACACCGCGGATAGTAATTATAAAAAACTTAGAGAATTCTTATAGTGCTACAAACTGAGCCAATGTGTAACTGAACCAACTCATTTCACCGATAATAGTCAAACCTTAATAGATATAGTTTGTACAGACATCCAGCAATACAATATTTTAGTTAATCACATACCCGATCTGAGTAGCCATGCATTTATTTGTTGTGAAATTAATTTCAAAAAGCCCAAACAAAAACCAATTATAATATCACGCAGAGACTTACATTCCATTGATGTCGAACAGTTTCAATTAGATCTAAAGTCGATGAACTGGGAAACCATCAACACCCTGAATGACGTTAATGATATGGTATCTCTTTTTAACACAATGATGTTAACCATATTTGATATTCATGCGCCTCTTTGCACAAAAACTGTAAGACATTTACAATATCCCTATATCACTTATAATATAAAAAAAATTATGAACATCCGGGATGAAGCTGGTTTAGTAGCACGTAAATCTGGTTCAGAGATACATAAGAACTATTATAAGGAACTAAAAAAATACTGTATTGAGGCGCTTCGCAAAGAAAAACAGGCATACTATGACTACTATATCAACAATACTAAAAGAGATCCTAAAGCCATATGGTCACACATAAAAAAATGTAAGGTTAAAAAGTAAACCAGAACTACCGTATCATATTTTTAATGATCCCAATTTAATTAATACCAGCTTTTTAAATGTCAGGAACATTTAAAAAGCTTGGACATGATCAAATACTTACTTCTAACACGTCTTTCTTTGAATCTCATATAAACGTTTCAAGTAAATACGCTAAAGACAGTACAGGAAATTGATATTTTAAAAATAGTACAGTCATTAAAATCAAATGCGGTTGGCGTAGATGGCATATCCTTTAATATGCTCGAAATGTCAATATCCAACACAATATCTGTTATAACAAATATAATTAACAAATCTATAGAAACCCATACATATCCCACAGAATGGCAACACGCTTTGGTCAGACCTATTCCTAAAAACGCAAATCCAACTATCATGAAGGACATCCGCCCGATCAGCATATTGCCCTGTGTGTCAAAGATTTTAGAGAAGGTTATGGTCGAGCAGCTAAGAAAGTATTTGGAAACAAATGAAATACTCCCTAGTTTACAATCGGGTTTTAGGCAACATTATAGTACAACTACCGTTCTGATTAAAGTAATCGATGATATTCTGTCAGGCCAGGACTCTGAAAAAGGCACAATATTAGTTCTACTAGACTTTTCTAGAGCATTTGACTGCTTGAATGTACCATTACTTTTGTCAAAATTGCACTATTATGGTTTCGACGTAACTGCGGTGAAATGGTTTGAGAGCTACTTTAAATATCGCGCACAGCGAGTAGAAATTTCTGACCATAGAGGGTTGCCGCTAGTTTCCGATTTCAAGGTTGTGAAACAAGGTGTACCTCAAGGCTCGATTTTAGGACCACTTTTATTTGCTATGTACTGTGCAGATATGGTAGATCACATCAAACATTGATCATATCATATGTACGCTGATGACACACAGATTTACATATCATGTAAGCCTGAGGAAACTCAATCAGCAATAAACAAATTAAACAAAGATTTAGAAGGCATTGCTGATTGGTCAAAATCGAATGCTCTTGTTTTAAACGGAAATAAGTCAAAGTATATGATTCTAGGAACGGCTAAGCAAATTCAAAACATTGCGAATCAACGGCTTCATGTCACCATAAAAGGGGAACAAATTGAACGTGTGACTGAAACTCGCAATTTAGGTCTGCTTATGGATGATCGTTTGCGCTTCGAGAATATTTTGTATTGCTTCTACAGATTTAAAGTCCTGTATCAAATTAGAAATTTCCTGAACATAGATATTCGAATAAGGCTCTGTGACTCATTAATTCTTTCTAAATTTTAATTACATGGATGTAGTTTATGGTCCTCGTCTATTAATACGTAGTCAAAAACTCATTCAGCGAGTTCAGAATGCTTGTGCAAGATTTTGCTTCGGGATACCGCCACGCACTCACGTTACGCCGTACATCAACGAAGGCAACACTTTAAAAATGAAATATCGTCGTCACTTTCATTTAGCAACACTACTGTTTGGTATAATTAAATATAATATGCCACCTTATCTCTTCCAAAAGTTGGTATGGTCGCGCGACGTAAATTCAAAAATAACTCGTGCGTCGACTTATTCTCTCGCCGTGCCATTCCATCGCACCGCTGCTTTTCGTGGAAGCTTTAGGTACGCTGCCTCAAAGTGTTGGAACGACCTGCCGCCACCGCTTCGTAGCCTGAAAACTATTAAAACCTTTAAAGAAAAATATAAAAACTATCTAATATCAACTCAGAAGAACATAGGCTGAAGCGTTTATATTTACTACTCACCAAAATGGGTAGGTACTGGCACATAGCACAGGCGGACAAGGTCGCAACTAATAAAGTTGAGTGATGATAATATAACCTTAAATTGGATACTGTTCGGATAGTTCCACTGACCGTAGGCTAAAAAAAAGTGTAATTTAGTGTCGTCAATTAATAACTGAGGTAATTTATGTATAAGTTTTAGAAATAAGTGTTAAAATATACATATATTAATATAAGAAAACAAATACAACGTAATAATAACTTTTGAAATAATGAAACATATTAATTAATAAAGTTAAGAGCACACTGGTAACAAAATTTTTGAAAATAAAAATAAAGTGCATGTATAATAAGCACATGTGCATACCTTTGTTTGGTTTGAAATCAATAATTTCAGCATAGTTAGACGGATTGGTTTTAGAATATTATTATGTATCACTCGCGGACGTCCGTACGTTATTATCCGTTCGGGCCCACTGAAAACCAGCGCTGTTGCTCCGGCGACAGCATAAGCTGAGTGAGGTCCGTTTGTATGACGCGCAACAACATACTCGTACAATATGAGAAACGATTCTTTTTGTCTTTCTATTTTTTTTTTAAATTATAATCTATAAGTATTAATACTTTTAAATTGTTTTATCCGTCAAATTGTGGTTTTGTTTCCTATTTTTGTTTTTGTTTGTTATAATGTTTATAATTGATGTGTCAAAATTTAAGTGCCTACTGATGTTTGTGGCGCGCTGCAATAAATCTTTCTTTCTTTCTTTCTTTCAAATATAATCTTAATTCTGCTGCATTTCTTATGGTGAGTGTAGAGTACCAGAGGCTATTTTTACTAGATACGAGACTTAGTCGTAGTCCTCAGTGGTTAAAACGCACATCTGCATTTTGATTTTTAATCGAGGATAGATGTAGATGTCTATGGGCCACAGCATCCACTTACCGTCATGGGCTGTGT